GATCACTTGAGCCCAGGAGGTAGAGGCTGCAGTGAGCTATGATCATACCACTGCACTCCAACCTGGGCAACAGAGTGAGATCCTGTATCAAAATAAATAAACAAACAAATAAATAAAAAGCACAGACAACAACAACAAAAAGATAAATGGTACTGTAGAAACTAAAAAGCTGCTCAGCAAAGGAAACAATCAAGAGAGTGAAGAGATAACCTGTAGAATGGTAGAGAATACTTATAAACTATTTATCCAAAAGGGACTAATATCCAGAATATGCAAATAACTTGAAACAACTTGACAGCAAAAACAGAACAAAAACAAATAGTCTGATTAAAATGTGGGCAAAGGGTCTGAACAGACATTTCTCACAAAAATACATACAAATGACTAACAAATGTATGAAAAAATGTCCAATCATCAGGGAAATGCCAATCAAAATCACTATGAGGTATTGTCTCACTCTAGTTAGAATGGCTATTATCAAAAAAACAAAAAAATGCTGGTAAGGATGCAGAGAAAAGGGAACTCTTAGACATTGTTGGTGGGAATGTGAATTAGTACAGTCACTATACAAAATCGTGTGAAGGTTTCTCAAAAAATAAAATAGAACTACTAAACAATTCAACAATCACACTGCTGAGCACATACCCAAAGGAAGGGAAATCCATATATCAAAGGGATACCTGCACTCCTGTGTTTATAGCAGCACTATTTGCAATAGCTAAGATATGAAATCAATCTAAACGTCCACCAACAGATGAATGGAAAAAGAAAACCTGGTCTATATACACAATGAAATATTATTCAGCTATAAAAAATGTAATCCTATCATGTGCAACAACATGGATGGGCTTGAATGTCACTAAGTGAAATAAGTCAGGCACAGAAAGATAAATATTGCATGTTTTCACTTACATTTGGGAACTTCAAAAATTGGGGCTCATGGCAGTAGTGAGTAGAATTATGGGTATTAGAAGGTGAGGGGGTAATGGGGAGGGGAGGATGGGGAAAGATTGATATATGAATACAAAATTACAGCTAGATAGAAGACATGGGCTCTGGTGTTCTGCAGCCCCGTAGGGTAAATATGATTGGATTTAATTTATTGTATATTTTCAAAAATCTAGAAAAGAGGATTTTTTTTTTTTTTTTTTGAGACGGAGTTTTGCTCTTGTCACCCAGGCTGGAGTGCAACGGCGTGATCTCGGCTCACCGCAACCTCCACCTCCTGGGCTCAGGCAATTCTCCTGCCTCAGCCTCCTGAATAGCTGGGATTACAGGCACGCGCCACCACGCCCAGCTAGTTTTTTGTATTTTTAGTAGAGACGGGGTTTTACCATGTTGACCAGGATGGTCTCGATCTCTCGACCTCGTGATCCACCCGCCTCGGCCTCCCAAAGTGCTGGGATTACAGGCTTGAGCCACCGCGCCTGGCCGAAGAGAGGATTTTTAATGTTTACAATACAAAGAAAAATAAATGTCTGCAGTGAGGGATATGCTAATCAGCCTGATTTGATCATTATACATTTTATACACATGTCAAAATATCAGTCTATATCCCCTAAATATGTATAATTATTAGGTGTCAACTAAATATAAAAGGGAGAAAGGTACAGAAAAGAAGAAAGGAAAGACAAAAAAATGAGCCTCCAGAGTTTATATGAATCAAATTCACAATAAAAATGAATAGCTGTGATGGTTAATTTTATGTATAAACTTGACTTGGCCATAGGGTGTCCAGATTAAACATTACTTATGGGTGCATCTATGAAGACGTTTCCAGATTAGATTAGCATTTGAATCGGTAGATTCAGTAAAGCAGATTGCCCTCCTCATGTATATGGGGATCATCCAATCTGCTGAGGGCCTGGATAGAACACGAGGCAGAGGAAGGAGGAATTCACCCATATTTTTTGCCTCATTGTTGAGCTGGGATGTTTCATCTCATCCTCTGTCCTTGGACTGTGATTTACACCAATGGCTTCCCTGGTTCTTAGGCCTTTGGACTGATACAGAATTACATCACCAGCATTCTTGGGTCTCCAGCTTGCAAATGACAGATTGTGGGACTTCTCAGCCTCCATAATCATGTGTACTAATTTCTCATAATCAATCTCTCTTTTTCCCTCCCTCCTCCTATTGGTTCTGTTTCTCTGGAGAATCCTAACACACTAGGAATAAACATTTCCTCAAGCCCATACCGTGTAAGTGTATATTACTCTTTTTTTCAACTCTTAAACTTAAAAATATTTTATTTATTTGTTATTTTCCCCAATTGGAAACAACTTATATGTCCCTGGACTTGGGAATGGATAAGGAAACTGGCAAATCCATACCAAGAAACAGGACTCAGCAAGAAAAACAAGCAGAGGTATTGGTACACAAAACAACACAGAAGGATCTCAATTGCATTAAGTAAAATGTAACAGATTCAAGACTACATACTGTATGATTCCATTTACATAATATTCTAAAAAAGGCAAACATGTAGGCCCAACGAATAGATAGTGGTTCCAAGAGGCCAAGAGTGGTAAGAGAATCTGACTCTAAAAAGTAGCGTGGAGAACTTTTTTGACAGAGATAAAACAATTTTGTATCTTGCTTGTGGTGGTGACTTCACTAATGTACGCATTTGTCAAAACTCAAAATTATGCGCTAAATAGGCCAGGTGTGGTGGCTCACGCTTGTAATCCTAGCACTTTGGGAGGCTGAGATGAGTGGATCATGAGGTCAGGAGTTCGAGACCAACTTGGCCAAGATGGTGAAACCCCATCTCTACTAAAAATATAAAAATTAGCCGGGCGTGGTGACACATGCCTGTAATCCCTGCTACTCGGGAGGCTGAGGCAGAGAATTCCTTGAACCTGGAAGGCAGAAGTTGCAGTGAGCTGAGATTGCGCCACTGCACTCCAGCCTGGTCAACAGAGTGAGACTTCATCTCAAAAAAAAAAAAAAAATTATGCACTAAATAAAGTGAACTTTTCAGTATATAATGCACAAATTTGGCCAGATGTGGTGGCTCACACCTGTAATCCCAGCCCTTTGGGAGGCCAAGGCAGATGGATCACCTCAGGTCAGGAGCTCAAGAGCAGCCTGGCCAACGTGGTGTAATCCTGTCTTTATTAAAAATACAAAAAATTAGATGGGCGTAGTGGCAGGTGCCTGTAATCCCAGCTACTCAGGAGAGTGAGGCAGGAGAGTCGCTTGAACCTAGGAGGCGGAGGCTGCAGTGAGCTAAAATGGTGCCATTGTACCCCAGCCTGGGCAACAAGAGCAAAAAACTGTCTCCAAAATGCAAAACAAAACAAAACAAAACAAAGAATAAATTTTTTAAAAGTAAATTTCAATAAATGATATTTCACATATTTTTACCTAAATATTTGCATTTCTTTGAATTCCCATAACGGACTTAAAGTTTTGCTGGAAAGGTAATGGAGTTGCTTATTTTTCTCTATTATAAAATGTAACCGATATTAAATTTATGGTTTGTCTTTGGTATCATATCCCTTTTTGTTGTTTTTTGCGACAAGCTCTTACTTTGTCACCCAGGCTGGAGTGCAGTGGTGCCGTGATGGCTTACTGCAGCCCTGGGCTCAAGTGATTACCCCATCTAAGCCTCCTGAGTAGCTGGGATCATGGTTGCCTGCCTCCATGCCCACGATGGTGCCCAGGCTGGTCTTGAACTCCAAGGGTCAAGTGATCCTCCTGCCTCAGCCTCCCTAAGTGCTGGGATTACAGGTGTGAGCCATCATGCCTGGCCCACATGTCAATTTTTAAATATGTATACTCCTTTAGTGGTTTAAATGTTTCAATCTTGTATACATGTGAGATTTTATCATGTGTGATCTATGTATATCACTTTACATTCCAGATTGTTTGGAATGACATGCTCTTTGGAATACTCCATTCTTTCCCTCACTGTTTTGAAATGCTATTTCAAATATTTAATGTGTATTTATTACACATTAAAAGAATACTTTTTTTTTTTTTTTTTTTTTTTGAGACAGAGTCTCACTGTTGCCTAGCCTGGGTGGTGCAATCTCGGTTCACTGCAACTTCTGCCTCCCAGGTTTAAGCGATTCTTCTGCCTCAGCCTCCTGAGTAGCTGGGACTACAGGTGTATGCCACCATGCGCGGCTAATTTTTGTATTTTTAGTAGAGACGGGGTTTCACTATGTTGGTCAGGCTGGTCTTGAACTCCTGACCACCTCAGCCTCCCAAGTGCTGGGATTACAGCCGTGAGCCACCACGCCTGGCCCTAAAGGAATACTTTTAATCATGGTGTCTTACTTCCATGTAGCAGGTGCCAAACTACTTTGAATACAGCAGTATTTTATAGACAGAGATATTTCTTAGGCATTTTTTTTTTCCTGCTTACAAAAACGTATACTCGTTGTTCATTTAGGTTTTTACTTATTCTGGATAAAATTGAGAATGCTTTTGTAAAGTACACAGTACACTAAAGATCAAAGAGAAAAAATACCTACAAAAATTTATTGATACTCTTTTATAAATTTTGTCTTCCTATTTAAGAAAGGTATAGACAGACTACATGTATTTCTATTCAGTCAAGCAATTTTAATGTCACAGAGGAAATAACACGTAACATTTTCTTCATTCGGATTATGTTTATTTTCTGCCTAAGCTTCAATTTCCCTTTATGGTTTTACCGATTTGATGAAGCAGCTTTGCGGTCACACTTACCCCTTTTCTCCGCCCGAAAACAATCGCTGACAGCGTCAGTCTTTTACTGTAATGATGAGATCTACTTCCTAACACTGAAGTGACACTGACGCGCAGCTGTTCTTTCCTTGAGGCGTCTGTGTCTAAACTGCACACTGGCTGTAGTGCATCCCTTTGGGGCGCCCGGGGAGAGCCAGGGCTGCAGGCAGCTCGCGCAGCAACTCAGACCGCATCCGCCCACTGCCGAGCTGGGCGCTTCTTGGCCAATCCCAAAAGGCTGCTCGCGCGGCCTCATGGGAAAAGTAGTTTCCAGGTTGGGTGCGGACAGCGTCAGGCCTTGTGCGCGGGCTCTGCGCATGCCTTGTCTGCCGGCTACCTCTAGGTTTCCGCCTTTCCTTCTGTTTTTTTAGGTCTTACGTGGGAGGCAGTCCCGGGGTTGTAAGGGTCCGCGCAGCTCTTCTAGGGCGAATGCAACCCGATGAGGGAGCGGGGTAAGCCCCGGTGGGTTGGGCAAGGACAGAGGAGGCCCCGCGTGACTCCCGGAACGGGCGGCAGGTGCCGGTGGTGGGGAGGAGCCCCAGGGACCTCACTAGGGAACCCCGGGACGACTGGGCTGAAGCATCTGCCAGGACGCTAGGCCGGTTCTTCAGAGGGACAGCCGGTGTACGGAGCGGCCTGCGCAGTGCGTGCCGCCCCATTTGTCGGGGAGGCCGCGGAAGAGGGTATGTGCGCTTGCGCGGTGCGCGCGCCGAGCTCTGCGGGAGGGGCAGTGCTCGGGGCGAGCTTGTGCGCGTGTGTGGGGGCGCCGCGGGAGTTGGGCTGGGAAGGGCGGGTGCGGTCGCCAGCCCGGCATAGACAGATTCGTTTTCCGCTTCTGCATTCGTCCTTCCAGGTTCCGAACTGCCCTCTAGTCATGTCCATCACTGCATCTTGATATTTGCTGTTCCTCTGTCCTTACTTGACCTTGGACTCAAGGATCTTCAATAATTACCTAATTTTGGCCGGGCGCGGTGGCTCACGCTTGTAATCCCAGCATTTTGGGAGGCCGAGGCGGGTGGATCACCTGAGACCAGGAGTTCGAGATCAACCTGACCAACATGGAGAAACCCCGTCTCTACTAAAAATACAAAAACTAGCTGTGCGTGGTGGCGCAAGCCTGTAATCCCGGCTACTGAGGCAGGAGAATTGCTTGAACTCGATAGGTGGAGTGAGCCAAGATCACACTATTGCACTCCAGACTGGGCAACAGGAGAAAAACTCCGTCTAAATATATATATATATAAATAATTTCGACTCCTTTGTTAGAAGAAAACAATTTTTTTTTTTTAATTTTTTGTTTGTGAAGGTTACTAACTTTTTCGGGATCACAGTTTGTTAGTGGGGAAGACTGAAATTTCAGACACCCCAAGCCATTACTGTATACTTTTCCACACACATCAAAGCAAGTTTAAAATATTCTGTTGAGAAATAGCAACAAAGTTGAAAAAATTAAAAATTTTTTTTCTTTGAAGCACTGCTGCTTATGGCTTTCTATGGAGTCACTCACCAGAAGTTAACATTACTGGGAAAATAGATAGCTTCGTCCTATTTTTTACAATAGTTTTAGTGAAGCGTTAATGTTCCTTTGTTAAATGTATTGCTAACTTGTATGGCCAATACTGTCATCATAAATTTTTGGTGAACACCAAGGGAGATTAAAATCCTTAGGAAGCAAATATTTATGTTTCCCCGGTGAAAAATCTTGTGCCCAAGAGTTATGTGATCATGTTGTCGAGTTATATTAAGGTGGTGTTTCACCATTTCTACTACCTGTTCTGAAGTGTCAGAGGACATTGATATTCTCCCAGAGGGAGCATTTTACCTGTTGGGTGTTTATGGCTTCTTAAGGCAGAAAATCTGGGAGTTGCCAACCAGGCCAAATCTTTCATGACCCCATTCATTTTTTTCTAACTCAGCTGTATCTTCAGAGTTGTCTCTGTCTTTCAAGAACAGAACAAAATGAACAAGGTAAGTTGTTTATTAATTCCCTACTTTATTTTATAGGGGACTTTGTGAGATTTGTGAGTCAATATGTTAGGATAGAAATTAGTAATACATGAAAATTAAGCCGGGTGCGGTGGCTCAAGCCTGTAATCCCAGCACTTTGAGAGGCCGAGGCGGGTGGATCACGAGGTCAAGAGATCGAGACCATCTTGGTCAACATGGTGAAACCCCGTCTCTACTAAAAATATGAAAAATTAGCTGGGCATGGTGGCGCGTGCCTGTAATCCCAGCTACTCAGGAGGCTGAGGCAGGAGAATTGCCTGAACCCAGGAGGCGGAGGTTGCGGTGAGCTGAGATCGCGCCATTGCACTCCAGCCTGGGTAACAAGTGTGAAACTCCGTCTCAAAAAAAAAAAAAAGAAAATTGAGCTTGCCAGAAAATGTCAAGTAACAGATCAATAGTAGGACAAAGTTAGAGTCAGTAAGTTGAGTTTCATCCATTTCTTATGTTTCTGACAACCATGGCAGAGAGGAAGTCACTGGATACAGACAGACCAACTCCTCTCAAGACACAAAGACTTCCTGGAAGATACCTTTTTTGTCATAACATAGGGACATATCGTGAATAACCTTCTAGTGATAGCCCAGAAATGAATGCAGCCTACTGAGTTAAACTGCTTTTTTAATTTTTATGTTACTCAGATTCCAATTTTCTTTTGGATATAGTGTTAGATCAATAAATTAAAATGTATTTTAATTTTTTTTTTTTTTTGAGACAAAGTTTTGCTCTTGTTGCCCAGGCTGGAGTACAATGGCGTGATCTCAGCTCACTACACCCTCCACCTTCGGGTTCAAGCACTTCTCCTGCCTCAGCCTCCTGAGTAGCTGGGATTACAGGCATGCGTCATCATGCCCAGCTAATTTTCTGTTTTTGGTAGAGACGGTGTTTCTCCATGTTGGTCAAGCTGGTCTCGGACTCCTGACCTCAGGCGATCCACCTGCTTCAGCCTCCCAAAGTGCTGGTATTACAGGCATGAGCCACTGCGCCCAGCTGTATTTTAATTTTTTTTTTTTTTTTTTTTTGAGACGGAGTTTCGCTCTTGTTACCCAGGCTGGAGTGCAATGGCGCCATCTCGGCTCACCGCAACCTCTGCCTCCTGGGTTCAGGCAGTTCTCCTGCCTCAGCCTCCTGAGTAGCTGGGAATACAGGCATGCGCCACCATGCCCAGCTAACTTTTTGTATTTTTAGTAGAGACGGGGTTTCACCTTGTTGACCAGGATGGTCTCGATCTCTTGACCTCGTGATCCACCCGCCTCGGCCTCCCAAAGTGCTGGGATTACAGGCTTGAGCCACCTTGCCCACCCTGTATTTTAATTTTTAATGAAACTTGTTTCTACATGTGTGGCAGAGAGATAGAAAAACCCCTACATTTTTTTTTTTTTTTTTTTTTGAGACGGAGTTTCTCTCTTGTTACCCAGGCTGGAGTGCAATGGCGCAATCTCAGCTCACCGCAACCTCCACCTCCTGGGTTCAGGCAATTCTCCTGCCTCAGCCTCCCGAGTAGCTGGGATTACAGGCACGCGCCACCATGCCCAGCTAATTTTTTTTTAATATTTTTGGTAGAGATGGGGTTTCACCATGTTGACCAGGATGGTCTCGATCTCTTGACCTCGTGATCTACCCGCCTCGGCCTCCCAAAGTGCTGGGATTACAGGCTTGAGCCACCGCGCCCGGCCAACCCCTACATTTTAAGAAAAAATCCTACGTTTTAAATATAGAATTCAATGAATTATTACAAATCCATGGCGCAAATAATGAATATGTAGGTCAAAACAAACATTGCCAGTACTCCTGAATCTCTTGTCTTGTCCCTTTCACAATCTGAACACCTCCTTGCTCATTCACTCATTTACATTTAGTCTGTGGCTTCAGTGGCAGAGTTGAGTAGTTGTGACGGGAACCTTTTGGCCTGCAAAGCTCCAAATATTTAATGTCCGATTCTATTTATTTATTTATTTATTTATTTGGAGACAGAGTCTTACTCTGTCACCCAGGCTGGAGTGCAGTGGTTTGATCTTGGCTCACTGCAGCCTCCGCCTCCAGGGCCCAAGGGATTCTCTTGCCTCAGCCTCCCAAGTAGCTGTGATTATAGGCGCGTGCCACCACACCTGGCTAATTTTCTGTTTTAATAGAAGTGGGGTTTCACCATCTTGGCCAGGCTGGTCTCGAACTCCTGGCCTCAAGTGATCCACCTGCCTCGGCCTCCCAGAATGCTAGGTATGAGCTACTGTGTCCGGGCAAATATTTAACGTTTGATTCTTTACAGAAGAAGTTTACCAGTCCCTAAAGTTTATTTGTTGGTGTTTGTCCTATTTTAGATGACTTTTCCTACTTTGAGGTCATGAAGATAATCTCTTTTGTTATATTTTAAAATCTTTATTGTTGGCTATACACAGTGGCTTATGCCTATAATCCCAAAGTTTTGGGAGGCTGAGGTAGGTGGGTCACATGAGGTTGGGAGTTTGAAGCCAGCCTGACCAGCACGGAGAAACCCAGGCTGTATTGAAAATACAAAATTTAGCTGGGCGTGGTGGCACATGCCTATAATCCCAGCTACTCAGGAGGCTGAGGCAGGAGGATCGTTTGAACCTGGGAGGTGGAGGTTGTGGTGAGCCAAGATTTTGCCATTGCACTCCAGCCTGGGCAACAAGAGCGAAACTCCATCTCAGGGAAAAAAAATATATTGTTTTGGCATTCACATTTATGTCTCTTTCATTGGAATGGATATTTACTTTTGTATGAGGTAGATGTCAGCATCCTTTTTTGCATAGCATTAATGTAGAATTATTTTTGAAAATACCATTCTATCCCCACTGGTTTACATTGTGATATTTGTCATCAATTATGTGTACATATATGTCTGGGTGTTTTTTGGACTATGTTCTGTTGGTTGGTTGTGCCAATACCACATTTGGTGAAGCAACTTGGTGTCTAGTAGTGGGTTTAACACATTTTTTCTTCAGCAAGATCCTGGCTCTTCCTAGCTCCTTGCATTTCCATATAAACATTGTTAGTATTCATAAATAGCATGCTGAAACTTTGTTTAGGGCTGAATTGAACCTATACATAAATTTTGGGACAATTACTTACCTTTTTTTTTTTTTTTGGAGACAGAGTCTTCCTCTGTCGCCCAGGCTGGAGTACAGTGGTGTGATCTTGGCTCACTGCAAACTCCGCTTCCCAGGTTCAAGTGATTCTCTTGCCTCAGCCTCCTGAGGAACTGGGATTACAGGCACCTGCCCCCTTGCCTGGCTAATTTTTTTGTGTTTTTAGTAGGGAGGAGGTTTCGCCATGTTGGCTAGGCTGGTCTTGAACTCCTGACTTCAAGTGATCTGCCTGATTTGGCCTCCCAAAGTGCTAGGACTACAGGTGTGAGGACTACTTTATTTTCTTTCCCCATTTATCTGACAACCTTCTGATTCCCTCTTGATGTCTTTGAATACCACTAAATTTTAAATGTCTCTGTAGTCTTTATTTTATTCTTGATCTCCATATTATGCTTCAAAAAAAAATTTTTTTTTTTTTTTGGAGACGGAGTCTTGCTCTGTTTCCCAGGCTGGAGTGCAGTGGCACAATCTCGGCTCACTACAAACTCCACCCTCTGGGTTCAAGTGATTCTTCTGCTGCAGCCTCCTGAGTAGCTGGGATTACCGGAGCCCACCACCACGCCTGGCTAATTTTTTGTGTTTTTGGTAGAGACGGGGGTTTCGCCATTTTGATCAGGCTGTTCTTGAACTCCTGACTTAAGGTGATCCAGTGCCCCAGCCTCCTAAAGTGCTGAGATTACAGGTGTGAGCCACTGGACCTGGCCTATGCTTCAAATTTAATATATTTAGGACCTTTATTGCTAGAATACTCTGTCTAACTGATTTTGCCCTTACTTTCCTGGCTTACATTGTGGCTCTAGTATCTGGGCAGCTGTTCATGGGGATAACCTGAGGAAACATTTTTTTCCTAAAGTATTGGTGACCACATTTTGTTGCTCTTAGTCTCTTATTATCCATGTCCTCCTGGTTTCTTCTACAGTAGTTTATGTAAATATTGTTTTGCCCTTTGCCTTTCTCAATAGAACTGGTTTTGTAAACAAAACCTGGTCATGTAATTTCAGTAAATGCTCATATCTCATCTTTGGCCCTCCCTTTTTCATAGCAGTGATCCCTAAAAGATGTGCCCTAGAGGATATCCAGAACAATCCAGTTGGATATCTTCTCCTGTGTGCTCCACAGATATATCAAGTGTAATAGTTCCAAAATCTTTCCATTTTCTACACATCATTATTATTGTCTCTGAAGTAAAAGATTAGAACCCAGAATACGTATTGCAGTAAAATAAAATATCAAGCTCTTTTTCTACATTTTAAAATCCAAATGGCAAATTAGAATTTATAATAAATGTACTGACAGTTTATTTCTGTGATTTGTAAATATGAATCTGTAGTTCTCAGTAATATTCTTGAAAATGATAAATAATCACTTTGGAGACTATTGGTCTAAAATTACTAAAATAACCCATTGGTCTAAAATAACCCATTTCCTGACTACTTCCCTGGCCTTTTCTCTCTACAGCACTAAGCCATCTCCTGTGTTGTCTGCCCTTTTGTTGATGTCTGCGGTGTGTTGGAGTTTGCTTGTATCATGGCTCCATGCTTACGAAGAACATAATAGAGTGTTCTTCATAATTCAACCAACAGCTATAGTTCTCAGTGAAGCTCAAAACAGAACTAACTTTGCTCCTAACATTAGTCTGTTATGTTTGTACTTTCTCCTTAGTACTTGTTACGTATTACCACATACATTTTCCTACCACTCTGTATGTTCTGTGAACAGAAGATTCTTTTTATTCTTAGTATTTCCAGCAGTGATGATAGTTCCAGGTATATTGTAGGAATGTGGTAATTTTCTTTTGCATGAATTAATATCATAATGCATTATGGCAGAGTATTTCTGTTAACAATTTCTTTTTTCCTTAAAAGTATAAAGCAAAACAAGTATTCTGTAAATAATAATTATGGTAAGGATTAGCCCATAATTCTTTTCTCATGCCCCCTAATTCTGAACATTTCAGGTGGAACAGAAGTTCCAGGGGTCAATATCATTTAAAGATGTGACTGTGGGCTTCACCCAGGAGGAGTGGCAGCGCCTGGACCGTGGTCAGAGAGCTCTGTATAGAGACGTGATGCTGGAGAACTACAGCAACCTTGTCTCAGTAGGTAAGGTCTGTTCACTGTATCATTCTAAATAGCATCTGTTTATTCTTTTGATTATGAAGCATTTGGGCAGTCTGTATAGTTTAATAGTATTTAAGGTTAAGCTTCAGGAGTCAGTGTTGATTGATCACCTTTGAGCACCAGAAGATACGTGTGTTCACCTCTCCGGTGAAAATGTTCAGTGGCAACTTCAAGCAGCCCCAGAAGCTTCTTCCTGCTTCAAAGCCCTGAAGTCTAGACTGCTTGGTTCAAATCCTGAATCATTTCCCGTTGACAGGGTATTGTGTTCACAAACCAGAGGTGATCTTCAGGCTGGAGCAAGGAGAAGAGCCATGGAGACTGGAGGAAGAATTTCCAAGCCAGAGCTTCCCAGGTGAGTTAATGTGTACGGCACAGATTACATCAGGGGATTTGTTACTTCCTGTAGTTAATTCAGAGGTTCGCAACTTTGGAACATTTTTCAAGAACATCTCCATAGGGGTCCTAACCTCTGGAAGTGATGAAGAATACTGATTCCTAAATCAGACCTTCAGATACTATTCACAAAAGAATTCTCCTCTTTGAATCACGTTTTGAATGTTTACCATTCTTACACCTGCTAATAGTTCAGTCTTTGCCCACCTCATCTGTACTGTTGTTTTTCTTGGTTATCATTTTTCTCAAAGCACTTTGAATGTCCCACCTTACCTCCATTGTTTTGTGTTTATTCTGTTGTCAGACTTTTTTATACACTCATTTTTAAACTCAGCAAATAATTTCTGAGTACTTGCTGTGTGCTGAGGATATAATAATGGAAAAAATAAGGCCAAGCGCAGTAGCTCACATCTGTAATACCAGCACATTGGGAGGTCGAGGCAGGCAGATCACTTGAGGTCAGGAGTTCGAGGATAGCCTGGCTAACACAGTGAAGCCCCATCTGTAGTTAAAATACAAAATTATCTGGGTATAGTGGTGGGTGCCTGTAATCCCAGCTACTTGAGAGGATGAGGCAGGAGAGTAATTTGAACCCGGGAGGCAGAGGTTGCAGTGAGCTGAGATCATGCCACTGTACTCCAGCCTGGGCGACAGACAATGTCTCAAAAAAAAGTAAATTAATATATTAAAAAATAATAAATTATGTCTCTAAGTATATTATGTATACTTGTATCTTTATGTCTATTAAATGTTCTGTGGTTTTAAAGACTGTCAAAGAAATTAAAGCAAGTTAGATTAGCCGAATGTGGTACTTTAAAGAATAGTCAGGGGAAACCTTAATGAAATCAACATTAAAGCAGAGATTTGAATAAAATTCAATGGGTGAGCCATGAGGATTCTGCCCCTTTTCAGCAGGGGTAATAGCAGCTGCTAGTCTTGGACAGGAATGTGCTTGGTGGTTTTCAGGAATAATTAAAAAGTGACAGTGGCTGAAAGGACGGATTGACTGGAGGAGGGGCAGGAGGTGAGGTGAGGGAGGCAGGTAGAGCCCAAAGGTGAGCATATCATAAGCCTCATTCAGTTAATTTTATTTTTAACTTAGTGGTAGATTTTCAGCAGATGAGTAACATCTGATTTCTATTTGTATAAGATCTTTCTCACCTCTGTAGAGAAAATACTAGGCAGGGCATAGGGCATAGAGAGCTCATTAAAGGGCTGTAGTAGTTTTCCTTATGAGTGATAGTGATATAGACAAAGCTGAAAGGCATGGCGGGAATGGGATGAGATTTGATTCTCTGAGTATTTAGAAGGTGGGGCAGTAACAAAAGTACAAACATTTGTAACATCAGCAGGAGGGAAAAGAGGTTTTTGAAGTATTTGAAGAAGTAATGGCTGAACCTTTTCAAATTTAGCAAAAGATATAAACTATACAGTCCCGAGTCTGAAGTAACATCAAATAAGTTAAGTCCATGGCAAACTCATGTTGTAATAAAATTTTTGAAAACTAAAGACAAAAAAATTTTTCAAATTAGCCAGAGAGAAGCAACACATTCCCTGTAGGGAGTGACTGTGAGTTTCTCTTCTGAAACCATGGTGGCTGGAAGGAAGTACTGTATTTTCTCAAGTACTGAAAGAAAAGAACTATCATATAAAAATTGTGTATCTTTTGAAATTATATTCATGAATGAAGGGGAACTAAAGCCATTATTACACAGGAAAGCTAAGAGAAAATGTTGCTAGCAGACTTTAAAACCTGGCTAGAAGTTCTCTAAGTAGAAAGGAAATAACACAAGAAAGCTTGGAATGCAGGAAAGAAAGAATATTGGAGGCTGGCAAAAATCGAGATAAATTTATTTTTCTTATGAGTTTCTAGAATCATATTTGATGGTTGGAGCAAAATGCTCTTTATGTAGGGGAAACAATTAGATTTAAGAAGTCGGGAGGGTAAAGGGGCCTAAGTGGAATGAAACTTGGTACATTTCACTTGAAGTGGTAAAATGACAAACTACGATAAGTTGTATATGTACATTTTAACACCTGGAATAACTACTGAGAAAACTATAAAATGTGGTACAGTTAAAAACACTGTAAATAGGCCAGGCATGGTGGCTCACACCTGTAATCCCAGCACTTTGGGAGGCTGAGGCAGGTGGATCACGAGGTCAGGAGTTCAAGACCAGCTTGGCCAACATGTTGAAACCCTGTCTCTACTAAAATTACCAAAATTAGCCAGTCATGGTGGCAGGTGCTTATAATCCCAGCTACTAGGGAAGCTGAGGCAGGAGAATTGCTTAAACCCAGGAGGCGGAGGTTGCAGTGAGCCAAGATTGTGCCATTGTGCTCTAGCCTGGGCAACAAGAGCAAGACTCTGTTTCAAAAAAGAAAAGAAAAGAAAATACTATAAATAAACCAGGATGAAATCTAAAAAAAATTTTAGTTAACTAATAGGAAAATAACATAAAAGGAACAGATGAATGGAAAACAGAAAACAAAACAAATAGCAGCCTAACAGAATAATATTTACCTTAAATGTAAATGATCAAAATACTATTAAAATGTAAATTGGCAGAGTAGAGAAAAATGTAAAACATGATTTAAAATTTTTAATTTTTGTGAGTACATGGTAGGTATATATATTTTTGGAGTATAGGAGATGTTTTGATACAGGCATACAATATGTAATAATTGCATTAGGGCAAATTGGGTATCTATTCCCATAAGCATTTATCTTTTGTGTTACAAGCAATCCAGTTATGCTCTTTTAGTCACTTTAAAATGTACAATTAAATGATTTTTTACTGTAGTCACCTTGTTGCGCCTGCAAATATTAGGTCTTATTCATTCTAACTATTTTTTTGTACCCATTAACCATCCTCACCTTACCCCCACCCCACTGCACTGCCCTTCCCAGCCTCTGGTAACTGTCCTTTTACTGTCTACCTCACCTCCATGAGTTCAGTGGTTTTAATTTTTAGCTTTCACAAATAAGTCAGAATATACAAAATTTATCTTTCTGTGCCTCCAGTTCCATCTATGTTGTTGCAAATGACAGGATCTCATTCTTTAATAAGGCTGAATAGTAGTCCATTGTGTATATGGTCTTTATGGATTTTTCTGTGAATGGACACTTAGGTTGATTCCAAATCTTAGCTATTGTGAACAGTGCTGCAATAAACATGGGAGTGCAGATACCTCGTTGATGTGCTGATTTCTTTTGGGTATATGCCTAGGAGTGGGATTACTGGATCATATGATAGCCGTATTTTTACTTTTTTCAGGGACTTCCAAACTATTCTCTTTCAGCCATATGAAGTCAAAAACCATGCTCTGTGAGTGCTCACCTGATTTTTAGTTCCTGCGAAGCTGCGTCTTTTGTGTAGATAGTTGACAAACTTGGTCTTCCTGCAGGGGAGTGAGTATGACTGGTAGAGTCCTTTATTCTACCATCTTGTTCCACCCATCCTAAAAAATGTTTTCTATAGGATACTCATAACTTAGTTAACAACGTAAGTTGAGAAAGAATAGAAAAAGATGAACTGCACAAACATTAATTAAAGAGTAGCACTATTAATATCAAATACAGTAGACTCAGAGCAAAGAAAATTATTACACAAAAAGAACATTATATAATGATAAAAGGATCAATCCAACAAAAATGAAATAATCCTAAATGTGTCTGTCTCTAGCAAACCTCAAAGTACATGAAACAAAACTGATAGAGCTAAAAAGAGAAAAGCACATTTTTTATTGTAGTTGGAAAGTTCACCACTTCACTCTTAGCAATTGGTAGAATTAGTAGACATATGATTACTAGCAGATATAGAAGAGCAGGACAGTAACATCAGCCAACAGGACTGAAGCAATATTGTAGAACAGTGCTCAAACAAGGCCAGGCACAGTGGCTCATGCCTGTAATCCCAGCACTTTGGGAGGCTGAGGCAGGCAGATTGCTTAAGGTCAGAAGTTTGAGAGTAGCCTGGATAACATGGTGAAACTCTGTCTTTACTAAAAATACGAAAATTAGCCAGGCATGGTGGTGCATGCTGTAGACCCAGCTACTTGGGAGCTAAGGCAGGAGAATTGCTTGAACCCAGGAGGCACTGCACCCAGCCTATTTTATTATTTTTATAGATTTAGAGGGTACAAGTGCAGTTTTGTTACCCAGACATACCGCACAGAGGTGAAGTCTGTGCTTTTAGTGTGACGATCAGCAGAATAGCATACGTTGCACCCATTGAGTAATTTCTTATCCCTCACCCTCCTCCCCACCCAAGTCTCCACTGTGTATCATGGCACTATGTTTATGATCATTCCACTCTATGTTTTTGTGTATGCAACATTAAATGAATATTTTTTAATACATTTTAATTTTTTAAATTATTATGTCCCTTTGAAAATTTATGTACCTCATAGTTGCTCTAGAACTTCCTAATAAATCTTACCTTATCAAAATCTACTTTAGATTTCTACCACCTTAACTCTAGCAAAATACAGAAACATTACTTATATATAGCTCTACTTCCTCTTCGTTATTTTTATATATATTACATATATATTTAAAACCCAATAATACATTGTTATACCAGCTGAGCACCCCAAATCTGATAATCACAAATGCTCCAAAATCTGATACTGAGCGCCAGCATGCTCAAAGGAAGTGCTTGTTGGAACATTTCAGATTTTAGATTTGTGGATTTGGGAAGCTCGACCAGTAAGTATAATGTAAATATTCAAAAATTTGGAAAAAATCTGAAATTGGAAACACTTTTGATGCCAAGCATTTCAGTGAAGGGATGCTCAACCTGTAATTGTTACTTTATATCATGTGATGTCTTCTCGTGTAGGGGCTGTGCCAATATTCTTGGTATTGTTCTAGTTTTAGTATGTATGTTGTAAAGTGACCATAGCCAATCATTTGTTTGAATATTTTTTCTGCTACTTGATATTCCTCCACTCTTT